TCCCTTCTCTTGTCTTATTGCTATTGCTAAGACTTCCAAAACAATATTGAATAAGAGAGGTGATAGTGGGCATCCTTGCCTAGTTCCTGTTCTTAAAGGGAATGCCTTTAACCTCTCTCCATTAAGAACAATGTTGGCTCTTGGGTTTTCATAGATACTTTTTACTATGTTGTAGAAATTACCCTCTAATCCTATTTTGTTGAGTGCTTTAATCAGGAAAGGGTGTTGGATTTTGTCAAAGGCTTTTTCTGCATCAATTGATAGGATAATGTATTTTCATAGATTCTTATGACATGGAGTTAGTTTTATAATGTTTTATTTTTTTAAATCAATTTTTTAAATTTTGTAATTATTGTTATTTTTTCTTTTGGGGGTTTGCTTTTTTATTATTATTAAGTTTAATGAAAATTTACAAAGACTTTGAATTTCCATTTATTCATTATTACACTTTTCTCTCCCCCTTCCCCAAGTTCACTCTTCTCTTTGAAAAGTAAAAGAAAAATCCTTTCACTGTTATATAATCCCTCCCCGCAAGTCCACTCTACTTTGCAGCCTTCATTCTGGACTCCTGTCATGACAATGATATCTAATCACATATCTTTTTAAACAGTTTATTTTAATGAAAGTTTACAGAAACTTTGGATTTCCATTCTATTTTCTCTGTTTTTTACAAACAAAGTTTACCCTTGGCTATTTTCTTTATGTTATGCTGAGCTTAATCCATATTTCTTTTTTACTTGTATGAAGACTATGAAATTTCATTAAATAAACAATTTCTATACATTAAATGTGTGTATCACAACAAGGTGTGAATGCAATGAGAAGAATGGGAGTCCAGAGCACTTAGCTCAGCTCATGCGGAACCTATAACTGGACCAGGAAGCTGTTGTGTGAACAGAGCAGGGGAACACTGCATAGTTTAACATTGAGAAAGGAGTGCATCAGGGTTGTATTCTCTCTCCTTAACCTACTAAATCTGTATACTGAGCAAATTCTATGAGAAGCTAGACTCGATGAAGTGAAGGGTGGCGTCAGGATTGTTGGGAGACTCATCAGTAACCTGTGTTATGCAAATGATGACACAACCTTGCTTGCTGCAAGTGAGGAGGACTTGAAGCATCCTTATGGATTGTCTCTCAATGTCAAGAAAACACTGGACTGATAGGAAACATCATGAGGGATGGAGAGGAATTTGAAACTGTCAACAGCTTCATCTTGCTTGGATCCACAATTAATACCCGTGGTACCAACAGTCAGGAAATAAAGAGATGTGTTGCACTGGGAAAATCTGCAGTTAGGGTCCTTGCCATATTATTGAGGAGTAATGATGTTAGTTTGAGGATGATTCATAGTCTTTCTGATAACATGCTATGCACCTGAGAACAGGACAAGGAGTAAGGATGACA